CCCTAAGGGGCAGTGCTCCGGGACCAACCGGGCAGTACCCCAGCTGCTCTGTCCCAGGCGTCCCCAAGAGCAGCTGGAGTGCTGCTGGGTTGGTGTCGTAGTGCCGCCCCTCGGCGCTGCGGGACCAACCCGGCAGCACCCCGGCTGCTCTATTACAGGCATCCCCAATTCAGCTGCTGCTGAAACTGACCAGCAGCGGCTGAATCAGGGACGCCTGGGGCAGAGCCGGACTATCGTAAGGGAGGGCTATGAGGGGTCTGGGGTGGCATCCCCTCCCACCCCACTCCAGACCCCTCATAGCCCCCCCTTCTGATAGTCCGGCATATCTGATAATCCGGCACCCCCTGGGTCCTAAAGGTGCCAGATTATGGGAAGTTTACTGTAGTATGTAAGAGCACATGAAATACACAATTTTAAAAGCTGTAAAAAGTTCTATATGCTGTAGGAGGTAGGCAAACATTCTTTTATGTCTTTTTTTTTTTCCAAAATAAGATTAGCTATCAGATATGTTTTAATTAGAGATGCCAGAATCAGAGCTCAAGATCTGAACAAACATATACAAATATCGCAGAGGGGATCAAAATTCTTTATGGTCAGTTAGGACAGGGCCTTACCAAATTCATGGTCCATTTTGGTCAATTGCAGGGTCATAGAATTTTTTAAATAGTAAATTTAATTATTTCAGCTATTTAAATCTGAAATTTCACTGTGTTATAATGTGAGGGATCCTGACACAAAAAAATTGTGTGTGGGGAGGGGGAAGGGAGAGGATTTGTAAGGTTATTGGGTGGGGTTGCAGTACTGTCACCCTTACTTCTGCACTGTTACTGGTAGCGGTGCTGCTTTCAGAGCTTGGCAGTTGGAAAGTGCTAGCTGCTGCTCAGGAGCCTAGCTCTAAAGACAGAACCACCAGCAGCAGAAGCACAGAAATAAGGATGACATGGTTTGGTGTTACAACTCTTACTTCTGAGCAGCTACCTTCAGAGCTGGGCAGCTGGAGACTGGTGGCTGCTGACTGAAGGTCCAGCTTTACAAGCAACAGTGCCGAAGTAAGGGTGGCATGGTATGGTATTGGCATACTTATTTATCTACTGCTGCTGGTAGGGAGCCACCTTCAGATTTGGGTGCCCAGCTAACAGCTGCCACTCTCCAGCCACCCATATCTGAAAGCAGCATAAAAGTAAGGGTAGCAATACCATAACCCCTCTAAAGTAACCTTGTGACCCCAACATCAGGACCCCTAATTTGAAAAACATTGGCCTGTAGAGTAAAGGGTAAAAGCATATGAAAGACAAGAGATTTCATGGTCCATGATGTATTTTTTTCATGGCTGTGAATTTGGTAAGTCCATAATGGTTATTGTGCCAAGAGGCCTTGCATGGACATGAGTGAAACTGCTGCTTGGAAAGGCAATCTTCCTACACATATTTCACACTTGCTCTGCCCCAGACTCTGCCCCCACTCTGTCCAGGGCCAGCCAGCTCCCTCTGGCTATGTCTACACTACACTGTTCTGCCAGGAAAAGCTACGCAAATTGCGAATCGCAATTTGCATAGCTTTTTCTGCTTCTTTTTTTGGAAGAGGCTTTTCCTACATTTGGCCCATCTACACTGGGCCAAATGTCAGAAAAACACCCTTTTTTGGAACATCCATTTTTTCTTGTAAAACGAGGTTTAAAGGGATGCTGAAAAAGTGCGTTTGCTCTTCTGAAAAAAATTTCAGAAGAGCAGACACATTCCCCGGATGTGGCAGAGTTTTTCTGGGATACCAAAGATATCCCTGAAAAACTCTGTAGTGTAGACATAGCCTCTGTCTCCCATTTCTCTTCCCTCCCCCTCCCTGCTCATTCCCTTTCACCCAGATCCCTGAACTCAAATGTAGTAAATAACATTTGTAAATTACACATTTCTAGAATTTCTTTCTAAAGACAACGGAGCATGTTTTCTACTGCATGCCAGATTGTGAAGACTGGATATACAGTACATACCTAATTTAACCCCCCCCCCCCCACCAATTTTGGGGGGGGGGGAAAAAGTCACAAAATTTTTTGAT